CCAGACGGATTGGCTTGCCATTAGCAAGCGCCTTTGATGATTCTAGAGCCATTGAGCAGTAAAACGCAGCAGGAACCAAGGTTTGACGTTGGAATTTGTGTCCAGAAACCCATGGCAGCTCGTCGAGTTTGAAGATGTTTCGCCAGCGATACTCCATATCTGTGTCATCAGCGCACCTGACACCCAAGAGTTCATGGGGTGGGTCGACTCTGTTACGATAATTGCGAGAAATTCGAGACTCGAACCAGAAAGTACGGCTATGGTCCCATGAATAGGTTGGTAAGCCCTTCAAAAGCTTGGGAGTTGTCACCACACCGCCTGAAATAGTATCAAGGTATTTTTTGAAACTCATTCTCTTCCCATTGATGTGATTCAACAAGAACCCTAGTGCGTTGGCAAATGCGATCGAATCATTCTCTCCACGAGATAGCACTCCAGAATATGGCACAACCACATTGACGGCATGCTTAAATGTTTGTGCCACTGGTCCCTTAAGTGCGGGATGCGGCCCCACTTCAACTGCAGCATCGAATGGACCAAATTCTTTTGCAGCTATGCTGACGGCCTCGAAAAATCTGACTGGTGAGACGAGGTTGTCTAGCCAGTATTGTGTCTCAAGTTCGGAAGATTCACTGGACATGTTTTTCAAGTTTACACTTGAAATCCACATGCAATCTGGTGAGCTGGGCTTGGGAGATATCTTGCAGGTAGCAAGAGATCTTGTGTATGGTTCTGAGCAGGGTAACATGTGATCGGAATGATACGCAGTATCAACTTTGAGAACCCGGGCAAAGACACCTCTGTCGTCAAGTGTCGTCTTTGCTTTTTCGAGGACATCTTTGTTGCCACTGAGAGTGACTGTCTTTGGAGCATTGCTGGCCGCAATGGAAATTTTGCCTTGGTATTCTTCACCAGCGCAGAATTCGAGAGCCTCGTCAAAGCTCAGTCCTGCCGCCATCATCGACCCTTCTTCTCCCCCTTTACCCTTTGCAAGGTGTGCATGAAGGCCACGATAGTAAGCGATACGAATGGCATCATCGGCCGTTAACCTACCTGCAGCATAAGCAGCACCAATTTCTCCGGATGAGTGCCCAACTACAGCAGAGAATGTGACTCCAATCAGCTTCAACAAATCTACGAGAGCAATCTGTAGGGCTGTGCAAAGAGGTTGCGAAAACTCGGCTTTTTCAATGGAGGATTTCCCGACTGCCGCGACAATTTCCTCTTTCAATGACCATTTTGGAGCATCTGGAAGCTCACGAAGTGATTTCTCAAGGGAATCGATTGTCTGAGAAAATGAGGGTATGTTGGCGATCAGCTCTTTTCCCATTGCCGGCCATTGTGCACCTTGACCCGTGAAAACACCCAGAATCTTCCTAGATGATTTGTCATTTACATTTGTCGACCGAGTGCCAATAGCTAGATTTGAGTTCTCTTCTTTTGCTATTATGACTTTCTCAAGTTGATCTAACAAATCTTCGGTGTTCGATGCTACAAATGTAGCTTTAGTTGGGAAGTTACCTCGGCCCAGTAGGGAATACCCCAAGTCTATTAGATTGACTCCTTCGTGCTCTTCGATATAATCGCTAAAGTTTGTGATGTTCTGAATTAAAGAATCCTCGGAAATAGCAGATATCGTGAATGGAATGACTGCTGTTGATTCCAAGCCCGGTGTAGATGAACAAAGCTCGTAGCTTTCAAGAATAGCATGTGCATTGGTACCACCGAAACCAAATGAATTAACGCTGGCACGGAGAGGTCCCTCAACCGCTGGCCATGGTAATGGAGCCGTGGGGACATTCAAATTTCCGTAGAAAGGTTCGATTGCTGAGTTAAGACTTTGGAAATGCAGATTGGGTGGGATAGTTTTCTCTTTCATTGCCAATCCGGCTTTTATGATACCTGCTAGTCCTGCTGCGCCTTCTAGATGGCCAATTACCGTTTTTATGGAGCCAACGTGAAGGGGCTCTGAATTGGGGGTGTCTGATCTCTGTGGGAAGAAAGCACTGCTGATTGCCTCCGCTTCAACTGGATCTCCTGCTGGTGTTCCGGTGCCATGAGCTTCGAAATATTGACATCTTTCCGAAGGCTTTGTACAGTCGAGTCCAGCTCGAGCATATGTCTGACGAATCAAGTCGGCTTGAGATGCAGCAAGTGGCATGGTAATGCCTTTCGACCTACCATCCGAATTCACACCAGTCTATTTATAAAGAATTAGCTATCGAGACATTAAAAACGGATACAAAATTATACACCTCGCGAATTATGTACTCAATGTCATCCCCATCTTCCAAAGCATTTTTCAAAGTCTTCAAAACAATTGCCGCGGTCCCCTCGCCACGTGCATATCCATCAGCTTTGGAATCCCACATCTGAGATTTCCCTGTCGGTGAAAGCATATGGAGATTTGACTCTCCAATATACATTTCTGGACCAAAGATTAAATTTGCACCAGCGGCTATAGCAGTTCGACTTTGTCCACTTCTAAGTGTCGAAATGGCATTATGAACGGCAACTAAACTTGATGAGCAAGCAGTGTCAATTGTCATCGAAGGTCCTTTCCAATCAAAGAAATAAGAAATCCTATTTGACATGATACTGCGTGCCGTTCCTGTTGCTAGATATTGCGGGATATCTTCGATGTCTCGCATTAGAACATCGAAATAGTCGGCGCACATGAGTCCTACGTATACGGCAGTAGAAGTGCCTTGCATTTCTTCGATCGACAATCCTGCAGCTTCTAGAGCCTCATAGACGGTCTCCAAAAGTAGTCGTTGTTGTGGATCAAGGGCTTCTGCTTCTCTTGGATTGATATTAAAGAATGGAGCATCAAATGTCGTTGGGTCTTCATTAAGAAAATATGATTTGGTTGCGTTGGTGGTTCCATGGTGTTCACCATTAGGATGATAGAAGGCCTTGATGTTGAATCGTGAGGATGGAACCTTTTGAGTCAAATCGTATGGATGATGGAGAAGGTTCCATAATTTAGAGGGTGAAGAGGCGCCACCTGGGAAACGACAGCCTGTGCCTATGACGGCTATAGGTTCGTTTGGTACGGCCATGATGCAACGATTAAACACAACGCTGAAGGGGAAAAGAAGGGAAGTCTGGATATTGGTGAATGAAAATGGTTGTCGAGGATGTAGTTGATACGATTGCAGTTGAAACGATTGCAGATGAAAGATGTAATGTTTTGAAAATCTGGTGTTTCAGTGGTTGATATGATATGCTTCATTGATGAGGCTTTACAATACATAACACGTGGGATCGGGGGCACATTGTCATGTGTTCTGACTTGACTACTCCACTCACGGGATCCGAGTGTGCCACGGTGCGGCTCCCATGGAATCACTACCGACTTACAGCTCAAGCAAACTCAAAAGCAGCTGCTGCACCATTTCTTCTTGTTTAATGAGAGAGTCAAAGTATATCGACAACGTTGAGAATTTTTGCTTCGTTTACTGCAGAGAGAATTTTCAAGCTTACTCATTTTACATATTCAATTATGCAAGCAGTAATTCAAACCGGACCTGGAATACTCCAGCTGACTGAGAATGTACCAAAGCCATCAATAGAGCCAGGATCGAGGAAAGTTTTGGTTAAGGTACACGCTGTAGCTCTCAATCACAGTGACTGGAAAATGGTTGATTTCTCGGCCAAACCTGGAGCTATCAGTGGATACGACATGGCTGGTGTTCTGGAAGCTATCGACGATTCCATGAACTCGGATCTAGTTGTTGGAGATCGAGTACTAGGCGTCACGAGTATACACGGAGGCGCATTTGCGGAGTACGTCGTTACAGACGGAGACCTGCTAGTCAAAATCCCCGAAAATATGGACTTCCAACATGCAGCAAGCTACGGTGTGGGAATAGTCACAACTGGTTTGGCATTATACGGAAACGAGTGTTTGGCATTGAATTGGCCAAATACAGAAGGGCTGGGCAGTGGAGCGCCTCAGAAAACTCGCGTCGGACCCCGAGGGTGGAGCGGTGGAGAAGCGCTAACAGATAACGATAACGAAACACCGCGCATTCCGGTACTTGTCTACGGGGCATCGACTTCCACCGGGACTTTGGCTATCCAATTGTTGCAGCTGTCTGGGTATGAACCGATCGCTGTGTGTTCGCCTCATAATTTTGGACTTGTGCAATCAAGAGGAGCATCGAAATGCTTTGATTATCATTCGCAGGGGTGCGGGGCTTTGATTAAACAGTATACCCACAACAGATTGGAGTACGCACTTGATTGTATTACTACGGCATCTTCAATGCGTCTTTGCTACGAGGCGATAGGTGCTACTGGTGGAAAGTACGTATCGTTAGATCCATTCAACGCAAGGGTACAACGGTCGCGTGCGGATGTCAAGCCATTTTTTTGCTACGCGCTCACGATATTTGGTATGCCTATTGAACTCAGTGGAGAATTTGCTCGAGATGCAAAACCCGAAGATAGAAAGCTGGCGGAAAAATTTGTGAAGATTGCTGAAAAGTTGATCGAGAAGGGAAGGTTGAAGGCCCATCCTACGATGCTAAAATCGGGGGGCTTAGGCGGAATTGCGGGTTCAATAGATCTCTTGAGGAAAGGAAAAGTATCTGGGAGCAAATTGGTGTTTAATGTTGTTGATAATTGAAATGTTTTGAATTTAGGCTTAATTTTTCAAAGAGTCTACCATTGGAAGGTTTTCTAGCCCAGAGCTGTACGTGCTATTCAGAGATCTCGTGTTGATATTTTCCCATTTGACTTTTGAAGCTAAAGATACCGATACATCTAAGGTGCGAATAGATCCTACCCGATTTCGCGGGCAAATGCCAGAGTTATTTCTGACATGACCACAAGATTTTCACTCAATCACGGCAAACTGTCCTTTACTGTTCCGTTTGCCAGTACTTTTGGACCAACCTTATTAAAGCAAGACTCCAATTTGCATTGTCGCTTCATCATAAAATTCACGGAACCAATCGAATTGAATCAGTTCTTCTATTAGACTATTCAGAATACTATCTACGACGCTCTCTGATTTGAATCTGTGCCGTTGGGTCTACAACGAGACTCATATCACTTTTTAAATTATTTGGCCTTCCAGTCCCAGGGAGCAACTGAAAATCATAATTCCGCAGAAGCTCGATCAGCATCGTCTTAATCTCATTGCTGGCAAAAAAGCGGCCTGGACAACTGTGAGTTCCGTGGCCAAAGGCCAGACTATCCTTTCCTGTAGTCACTAGTTGGAATTTGTTTTCGGCGCCTTCTTGCTGTCTGAGCTTCTCGAATCGAAAACCGTCGAATTCGTCGGGATTTTCGAAGATTCTGGGATCAAAACCGATGGAGCCGGCTGCCATCCCAATAAATGATCCCTTTGGTAAGATGGTACCATCGGATAGCTGCACTGTGTCCATCATCTTTCTGTTCATGGTGACTACCATTTAGAGTGTTAGTCATTCATCCGCGAGAGAAAAGTCAAATTGGACTTCATACCTAGATTCAATGGGTTCACTCTCTGACTTTCTTTCAAGAACGAATCCATTTTACGAAGTTTTGTGAGTATTTGTTTGGTGATTTGAGTATTTACGGGAAGATTAGCGGCTATTTCTTCGCGGAGAGCTTCGATATATTTTGGTCGTGCTGCAAGGTCAAGAATTGCATTACCTAACTGTTCGAGAGTTTAGTTTAGACTCATGACATCCGTCTAGATTTGCGAAAGTATTTACTCACCAACCCCGATGTAGTGTGCAAGGCTGCAAATGCTGTTTCAAAATGGTAAGTCTTTCGTCATAAATTGTGGGAGAGTTGTAGAGGATACCCACATATCAACTGGAGTGCGGTTAGTACGTCTTTTTCACAGTTTTGTAACAATCAACTCACGAGTTGGCATCGACCTTGAAAGGTCGCATCTTTAGCATTGTTTCCCGAGTTATCGATCATCCATTGAATCATATCTTGTGGTTTCTCAAAATCATCCCGTTCCATCTCCTTGAATCTTTGGTTGAAGATTGGCCGCAAAAACTCTGCCGCATCGGTATAGTGTTGGCGAACTTTCTTCAATTCTGGCGAATAAAGAGCATATATTGGTCTAAAAAGTGGGTGTCGTGCCCAGACCGCTCGTCCCCCAAGAAGGTGTCACGAGTATATGTAGTCGATATTTGAATCCATTTTTCATTCCTGCATAGCGGCTCGCCTACCATCACTCGTCCACTGACCTTTGCCACCATTCTTAATATGATGGGATATAATGTCACTGACATCCAGTCCTTGGGTTTCGGTAATTCAGTTGCAAAAGCGAGCTCTGTCTCAGCTTGCATGTTCTCCAATGCCCGCGCAATGCTCTGTGTGAGATCAACCTTGACACTTGTTGTAACTGCATCTCCTTCGGTATTGTTTGCAAACGCCGTGTAATGCCCAAAGTATCTATCCCTAAATTCCTCGAGAAATGAGATCTTGTCTGGGGGTAAAGATTTAATTTCATCGATGTATTTGATGGGCAAGATTATCGTAGGATGAGCCGCTGTTGGTAGCAAAAATGGCGTATTTGGGCACTATCTATGTCAGTCATTTTTTGTCTTCGCTAATTTTCATGAACAGTTCATACCTGGTTGTACCCGCTGATCAGAGCAGAGCGAAGATCACTCGCATCGCCTATAATTGGGGCATCGAAATTCAATTTCTTTGAATTGAAGAACTGGAATAGATAGTACAATGCGAAGACAATGCAACCCGCAATCACAGTATTAAAGTTTGCCAATGATATTGCACCCAGATCTGCAAAGTGTATCATTTTGGACAGACTCTTGCATCAAGTTCGGGAGATGAAAAACAATAGAACAAAAAGAACTGTCAGTCAATTCAATTGCACATTGGCTACAAGTGTATACATCTGGATTTCCAAGCAAGCTCAAGCCATAGAAGAAGAAAGAGCTGGACTATGCCGCCTTTCGCGATTTGTGGTCACACATACCGAAGTTCTGGCGGAATGTGTCGGCACCCGGATGAGGTTCGTTATTAGCCCCATAATTTTATTGTCCAATGATATGTATCCCATTTCTTTTCGGAGGCCGTTGATGAACATATCCAGAACACTAAATTGAATCGTTTAACCTTTACAACATCATCCATGAGCAGACACCCAATTCAGACTTGTGGTGAATCGTGCCAAACATTTCAAGATGTTTGCAGTTGAATTGCTCGAGCGACTCGGTTTGCCAACTATCTATCTTTGGATTGGATTTATCTTGGTAGTTGTAAGAAACCCGTATATGTTCTCTTTAAACTTTATGCTAACAACTTCGTCTTTAGCTTCTAGCATATCCTACATATTTTGCAATCTACAACCTATACTTTCACCCATTGAGAAAGTTTCCCGGGCCGCTCATAGCCAGATCCTCGTACATCTGGTACGCTAAGAACTGGTAAGCGATATAACACTTGCAGGCTCGAAAATCACAAGGAAACCATCTAATCAACCAAATGCAGGATTGGAGGGAGATGGCCTCACGCATTATCTGATCTTCATGAGAAGTATGGTTAGTTTACATTCTCACACTCACAACATAAGATCCATAACTCACAAGCCTCAGGTCAAGTTGTTCGAATAGCCCCCGATGAGCTTGCATTTAGCTCAGCTCAGTCTTGGAGAGACATTTATGGTCATTCGGTGAAGGGTAAGAAGTACTTCAGGAAAACCGACTGGTATGCAGGTGTTGGTGATCTACCCAGCTCCATCTCGACAGAGCCAGATCCACAAAAGCACAGTGCTATGCGCAGAGTATTAGCCAACGCTTTTAGTAATTCCGTTCTGAAGGGTCAGGCTGATGTCATCAATAAATATTTGGATATGTTTGTCAGTCAGATCAAAAAACATGATAACCCAGATGGTATACCAGTTGAAGAATGGTTTAATTGGCTTACTTTCGATATTGTAAGCATCCCTATGAAATGGCGGTATTGGAATACCGATGTTAATGAGAACTATTCAATAGATCGGGGATTTGACTTTTCATGAATCCTTTGGTGCAGTCGAAAACGGTAAATTATCAAACATTTCCCTCCTTCATGAATCCATCATGCTAATAGCCACCTAGCCCGAACACATTTTTGGATTCATTTGATCATCAATGGCAACTTTATTCGAAGTCTCTATCCAATTTTCCAGAAGATCCCTATCAGTAGACTCTTCATGAAATGGATCATTCCAAACATGGATGAGATTCGTGAGCAACGTCGGGAGCACATTGCTCATACGAAATCCAAAGCCATGAAACGGGTCAATCGTGATGATATTGTCCAGAAAGATTTTTTCAGCTTTTTACTTGGTAAAGAGGGAGCGGATACTTCGGAGATGTTCTTGACTGCGCAGGCTCACACTCTCATTATTGCTGGATCGGAGACTACGGCTGTTACACTGACGGCTATGGTCTCATTTTTACTTCGTTATCCGGATAAAATGAAAATTCTCATTGATGAAGTGCGTGGCGCATTTACTGACAGGTCTCAAATCAACGTCGAAGAAACTCTGCCCCTAGAATACCTCTTCGCCGTAATTGAGGAAACACTACGCATCCTCCCTCCAGTACCATTTGGCCTTCCTCGCACGTGCCCTGGAGCGGTCATCGACGGACATGTGGTTCCAGAAGGGACCATCGTTTCGGTCTCTCCATATACAGCATCTCACGATGTAAGATATTGGCATGATCCTGAGGGCTGGCATCCTGAGCGTTGGCTTTCTTCTGACCACCCTCTTTATAATCCGGTATTCGATCAAGACAACAAAGAGGCAAGCAAGCCATTCAGTACTGGGCCTCGAGTCTGCTTGGGTGTTAATTTAGCATATATCGAGCTGAGGATGACGCTGGCGAGGTTACTGTTTGAATTTGATATGGAGTTACTTAGTAAACCAGTTGATTGGAATACGGAATTGGATTTCTTCCAATTCTGGAAGAAGGTGGAGACGAGAGTAAAGTTCACGAGTCTTCACTGAAAGATGTGCCTGAAGCAGAATGTGGAAAAAAGAAATGTCGATTAAAATTGATAGTTGAAATCATCACAATTGAATCAGAAATTTTGCTTACAATTTTGGTGGACTCTTGTGAATTGCCGCATTTTGATAATTCTTAGATAGAATTGGCATAAATCACAAAGATACACCTTGCTACAATCCACAGCCCGTCGGTTAAAATTAAAAATTATTTCGAAAAACTCGGTTAGATCAAATTCTTGGTCACTTGTTTCTTAATTTTGAGAGTCGTCAGGTACAAATAAATAGTCTTCACTGCGCGAAGCTGCAAAGACTTCGTCTCTTTGCGAATCTTTAAGTCACAAAGCTCAGCTAGCAGGATTGCGCACTAAGGTGATGTCAACATCAATGATCTTTGAATTTTCAATTCATAATCTGTTCCGTTGGGTTGCGATACAAGTAAATATGCATACGTGAGCGCGCTAGTACACTAGCGCACGAACGTATTGTATGTAGCTCTCGTAGCTCTGAACCTAGAATAAGATAGACACTATATGAATGAATGCAGTAAACCTACCATGAACACATCACAATCCCCACCGAGGTGATACCAAGACATTTGAATCCATTCGATCAGAACTTGTCGCAATAATATGTTTACAACTTCAAGAAAATTTGTAAGAAGATGATGAAGTTATAGCAAGTCAAAAAAGTGTACAATGAGGCTGATGTAAGACTGCCTATCAAAAGGATCATCCATCAACCTCCGGATTCGATATCATGCAATATGGTGGCTATGGATTTCAATTAAGGGGAGTAAAGGGCAGGGTAACTAGGATTGAGGATAGAGGGCCTACGATGGCTCGAGATGATGTTCCAGGCGGCGATGGCATAGAAGTATATAAAAAGAGTTACGAATTATATGAAAAGGCGGGGGCGGGGGTGAAACTTTTATTGCTATTCATTATTTCAAAGAAAGATACTGAAAAATATGGATAAAGATGGAAACTAGAACCAAGGGGAATTCCAAAATAGGACAGCATCATCCTCAACTTCTCCGTATGTTTATCTGTGTGTCTTGATGACTTGAAGTGATTGAGTTTAATTAACATGAAGATTCAGAGACCACAGGACATGTGATTACCTGTTACGTAGCTAGCCAACTTGCAAGCTCACTACTATCTGCAAATCTAGATATTATAGACTGTTATCTAATCTCAACACTAGTCTGGGAAATCCAGATGAGATTTTGATTGTCACAAGTCATCTTGAGGCATTTATGTGATCTTTTGCATTGGGAAATGAAAAATATATCCTCTTGTCTAAAAAAAATCAAGCAACCGACAGTACCCCTTTGAACGCAATACGCCCGGTTCCTGAATAAAAGCTACACAATTCTGTTCCTCCGTCTTTAGTGCTCACTATACATAAATTTTTGCGATCAAAACTCTAGGACTTTGACCTCTTTCTGTCCTATCCTCTGTTGGAAAAGTACCCAATCACGCTTGAAGTCAAGCTTGGCAATTAATGCCTTGTACTGCCAATATGGGTATGGATATCGATAGACGTGTCCTATTTTTGACTAAAGAAAACTAAAATCAGCCACTAAGATACACACGTCAGACCAAGGATTTTCTCACTCTATAATAACTCTTGCAATTTGGATTCGCAGGAGGTAACTTTGCTTGCCCTGGTCTCAATGATAATGTCCAGGATCTTACGCGTTCTTCCTTTGGCATAATAGCATAACGAAAAGTGCCAACGTTCTTCTGAAAGAGATATTTTGTTGCGATAGAATTGTGATGAGCTTGAAGCTCAAAGAGCTCCATGACGCTGGTTTCGAAAGATGAGCTATTCGGACCAAGAAAGTTGAAGTAATTTGGAAAATCATCGACGGCGACACCTCGTGAAAGTTAGTAATTGGATGAGAATATATTGCTCAATATCTCTTACCGTATAAGGAAAACAGTTCTGGTTGGTATTTGTCGCATAGTAGTTGTCCTGATCGTCCTCTTGTTGGGACAGGAAGTCCAAAATCGACAGGATTGTAACCTAGTCGTATATCAATTAATTTTGTCTCTTCCGATCGCAATATTCCTATCTCTTACCAGTACCCCAAATCAGTACATCAGTTTCACGTTCTGATTCCTCGCCTGTTTCAGAATTCCTTGATATAATCCCATTCTCGGTGAGTTCGGTCACACCTTCAGTTACAAGCTCCACGTTGTCGTTGTTGAATATCGGATAATAGTCACTGAGCATCAATGGACGCTTGCATCCAAAAACATCTTTTGACTCGAGTTTCCGTCTTAAAGTGTCATCCTTGATCTGTTTGTATAGATGGTTCTTCGTCATCGAGAGGACTATTCTTTGGAGCCATGATCCTACAGTAAATAGACGCGGACGTAAGATTTCATCCTGTTCGTGAGTTTAATACGGGACACAAAAATTTGCAAATTTGATCCAGTAGCATACCTTTTTCATCCAGAGCCACCGATTACCCCGCATGAGGAATGGAATATGAGCAAACATCCATTTTGTTAACGACCCGACAACAACATCATTACGAGGCAAGACATGTCCTGGGCTTCTTTGATAGACTATCAAAGACTTTACCTCCGGATAGATGTTTGGAATGAATTGACAGGCAGATGGTCCTGTTCCAATGACAGCAACTGTCTTTCCCTTGAGATTGGCATGTTTTGGCCAGTCCACACTATGCCATTCCTCCCCTTTGAAGGCATCGATGTTCTTCACAGGTGCCTTCTTTGGTACTGTAAATGCTCCTAAAGCGCCGATAAGCTAATTTTTGAATCAGAAGATATACCAAAAAATATGAGGGGCTCACTACATACTACATGGCAGCTCCAGACTTTTGTGTTGCCCGTGATAAGATCGGTAGTCTCGACAAGCCACAACAAACGCGAGTCATCCCACTTGGCCTCTACAATCTCTGTGTTGAAAGTTGTGGATTTATCTAATTCATATTGTAATGCTACATCCTCAAAATATTTTTGTATCTCGGGCTGAGGTGCAAAAGTTCTACTCCAGTCTATCTAGAGTTAGTACTGTAAACTTTTAGAATAGGCCAATAGAAGAGATTTGATCCATCATTGTCTTCTTCTGTTAGAGATACAGTCACATATATGAAAATACTGACAAGGATTAAGAGCAAAACTTATTTGATACTCGTGACTTGGAATATCACACGCAGCTCCGGGATAAGTATTCTTCCACCAGACTCCACCAAACGCACTTTGTCTCTCTAATATCTGAAATTCTTCAAGAGGAAGCGTTTTTTCACGTACGAATGTACAACCTTGAATAATTCCTGCAGCACCTGCTCCAAGAATAATTGCAAATCGATGTTCGTCTGCTTGTAGAGTCTCGATTGGCATTTTTTCGCTTGACATTTTGATTTTGAATAGAATAAATGATAATACAAACCCATATTTGCTTTAGCATATACATATCGAGTTTCCTGTAGTATCAGACTGGAGTCTTGACAAGGTCCGTGTACTTCGGATGCCGAGAATCTATTCCGTGGAAACGATTACGAGACCGAAAGCTGGGATCATCACACGATCAAGCCCTTGTCATTCTGATTCATAAACTACCTGACTAAAATGTTTAGACTGATGTCTAGACTGCACAATTGATACCCGCGGCGGGCAATATTCCTCAGGGAGAACTCGCGGAGCGGATTATTTGTAGATTATCCATAAGTGAGAAAAATTCTTGGGTAGTTCATAATGCTAACTTTAAGTTCCCATCTTGACCTTGGCTCTAGCTAGAGGAAGCACTAATCAAAGTCCTGAGGCCATCTTCTACCGTAAGAGGAGTTATCTCTGGGAATAATTCATTAAGATACACGGAATCCGAAACTTTGGGGTCGAAACTAAATGTTCCTGATTCAAACCAGTCTCCATGCTCTTTCAGCGATGCCGAGTATGCAGACCTATGAGCTGGTGCTTCGATGACCTGCCCACTAAGAATTGTGGAGGGTTCATCAGTGATTGTCCATTTTTCACCTGTACATGCGGTCTCAAGTTAGCAACGGTTCGATTCAGCAACACATGTTGGAAAGGTTCAAAGCCAAGTAAAATCGTAATCATACCAGTGATTTTCCCTGCTATATCTATCACATCATGCCAGGACCGCCGGTCCCCAACAATGAAACTTCTCTTCTCCCACTTCGGTAAGGAAAGACTAGCAACGACAAAGCGGCCCACGTCTCTTGTATGGGTCATAACCAAAGGTACTGTCCCTGATCCAATACCCACCGAGGTTCTGGTGGGAATGTCGAAGAATCTTATTCCAGCTGCAAGATGACTTGGCACCGCGGGCATGCACAAATAATCTAAGAAAAGACCATTGACGAATGAAGTATATTCGAGGTGTGTGTCGGCGAGCTCCTTCACGGCAACTGCTTTGAGGCCGGTGCTTGGGCGAGCAAGCGCATGTCTAATGAAGTCGTTAGATCCGACGATCTGTCAAATCCCTAAACTACGAAGGAAGTATTGAACCGAATGGAACACATAGGATTCTTACTCACTTTTCTTCATAAGCACTTCCATACTCACTAGGAACGAATCGCTTCACAGACTGGGAGCCAGCAGCACCTCGTACAAGGTTCAACTGTGAGTCGCTGTGCTCTTTCGAAACAATACACAAAGCCGAAATAACCGTGTGGATATGATGTTCATCGAGTATCTTTGAGATTTGTGAGACATCGGAATAATCAATCAAAACAACCTTTACATTGTTTTTCGCTGCATAATCGGGCGATTCCTATGCTCAAACGTTATTTTGTTATTCATTCAATCAATGTTCCAGAGAAAAGTTGGGATTAATTACTGTTCTACTTAAAACAATGAATTCGTGTTCCGTTTGTGCTTTGAGAGCGTCAACGATAGCGTAACCAACGCCACCAGTTCCGCCTGCGACTGCCACTCTGACCATGATGTGGAATTTGAGCTTTTATATAGATGTGATAGATACTTTAGTGACAAAGTAATAATTAAACAGGTATCTCACTTGGTTGGCAATATTCACAGAATAAACAATTTTAGTGGTGACAATTCAAAAGATAGTCTCAGTCTATCGAAACATAAATACTTCAATCCATCCTTCTAGGTATTGACATCCATGACTCCTTTTCTTTTCCATTTGTGTCACTTCCTTCATCCATTGTTACTCTCCGGAAACGTCTGTAAATTATGTCTTCTGTCTTTCGGTAGCCGAGCCGACCCTCCGAAAGTCCGTAAATCTCCATGGATATGCTTCTTGATATTTTACATCGGGTTTGATGTCATTACTAACAAATCATCGTATAGTTATTCTCTTATAGACAAAGCATAGGGATTCATTTACATCGGGAATAATATTAAATCGATATAGTATAACGTTGTTTACCAGTAGATCGGCTTTATTAATAGATTGACTGCGAGTTACCCATGAAAAAAAGGTGGTGAAGTTGGTTACGATTCCTAGTATGGCCCCCATAAAGATCGCATAAAAATGGCCTATTCAGTCCATGAGATATTTTCCAAAATGCGATCGCGGCTGTCGTGATCGTCATATCCAAGGTTCGGCTCAAGACACGCCGATAGCTGTATCTTGCCCCCGACAGAAATGTATGAATATGGTAGTCGTCGACGACAAAAGCGTAGATGGCTCTACGAATTCAACAGGCATCGTCATTAGCCTGCTCTCACGCTGTGGATTATAGTCCTCGGTCATACTTTCTGGATGATCTGGAGAGATGCAAGTTTTGGCAAAAGAATCCAGAGATTTGAGAGTAGATGATTTAAACAGTACCCCATGAACTTTAGAATTAACTTTATAACTATCAACAACCAAAAACCAGGTCTTTTAATAAAGCAAACGGAGTATTACCAGCGGCGGCATGGGAATTCCTGCAGAAATGTGGTAACCTCTTTACATCATCGTTTTTGTGCCTTTTCTGAAGTATGGGGTCTTTTGAGAAGTATAAAAGGGCTTTGAGGGGGAACTAAAGTGTATGCCTCCCTTATCACTAAAAAATGATTAGAAATTTTTTGACCAATTTTTGCTTGATCAGCAATTCCAGAAAATACCACAAGTTGAAGAAATTTGCCCTTTTGCCCTTTGGAAGATGCCTTTGTTGTGTGTGTTAGTAAACCGCACTAGTTTTTATATCAAGCACTCGTATACTAGAGTAACACTCGTATAAACTTATACTTTTAACGCGACGGCGGGGTGAAGCTACTGAAGTGCGGGGTTAGCGGGGTTCCTGCTTTCTGAACTGCTTAGTAATCCCCGCAAAGGAGCAAAACAGTGCCCGTGCATGTCTTCGAAAACTGCCATTAGGCATCAAGATGACGATTCTCTGCAAAGAAAGTATGTACCGTTCCACAGTATGAAGCTTAAGCCAAAAATAATTCAAAAATCAATTTTGAATAACACATCCACTTTCGATCCATCACATCTAAATTCCGCCTTGTCACCACCATTATGCCTATACCCGCCACCTTCCATAATGGCAAGAAGACATTCACGGTTCTAGGTAAGATTGAATTGCATCTCACGAGCCACAAAACTCACTTGCTTATTCTTCCATTGTAGAGAATAATCCCGAGGTCATGAATGCGCTAGCTAAGAAGCTTGGTCTTTCCCCTGATCTCGCATTCTACGATGTCTACTCTCTCACCGACTCAGGTCTTTTGTCCATAATTCCCCGTCCAGTCCATGCCCTCCTGGTCATTCTCCCGCTCACCCCTTCCTGGAACACATCTCGTCTAGTTGAAGACACCCCGCTATCTGTCTACGAAGGGTCTGGTAGCGATGAGCCCGTGATCTGGTTTAAGCAAACGATTGGACACGCCTGCGGTTCTATCGGGCTTCTTCACTGTCTTATTAACGGGCCAACGAAACCGTTCATTTTACCAGATACAACGTTGTCTCGACTAAGAGAGCAGGCTATTCCACTGAAGATGGAAGAACGGGCGAAGATACTTTATGATGATAAGGAGTTCGAGGATGCGCACCAAAGTGTTGCAGAAATGGGCGACACGGCTGCACCCAGTGCTTCAGAGGGGGACAGATTGGGACAGCATTTTGTGGCGTTTGTGAAAGGGGACGATGGTCATCTGTGGGAGTTGGAAGGTAGCAGAAAAGGGCCGCTCGATCGAGGCTTGTTGCCCCACGACGAGGATGCATTGAGCGAGAATGCGATCGCAAAGGGTATAGGCAGAGTGATCAGGATGGAAGAAGAAGCTGGTGGGGGAGATTTGAGATTTAGTTGTATTGCGCTTGCAAAAGTAGACTGACGAAGTATGAGGAAATTGGGATATATTCGTGGGAGGAAGCCTATCGCAGCGCCCGCGATTTTATTCCCAGAACGAACAAGGCAAAGGAAAAGCCCCCGGCTGCATCATGCCCCTTGATTTTTCAGTCTTGAATCTCGACTTCATGAGAACAATCTAGAGCTTGACCCCAATTACCGCAACTTCTTTCGAAATTTTGCTGGACGAAATCATCTCACTTGAGGGTTTGAGGGCACTCCCGGATAATTAACCTCAATCAATATTCATGCTACTAGATCTGCAAGCGCCTTAAAGCCATAATGGTTATTGACCCCTTCATATGCCGAACCAATCAAATGCAAGTGTCATCTAAAAGTTGATACCAAACCAATCTCAACCGACTAAATGCATCGAGACTGTAATGTGTTTTTTCGGATGAACACCACTATGTCACCAAGCACGACACGCAGACGTCTCACAGCACCCCGCAATTTAAGGGAAGTTCAATTCACGATAGAAACCATCCGGGGTAAGGAAATACGTCATTTTCGGACACCTATGTACTCGGTGATGATATACAATCAACTTACTTAAAAGTGTGAGCAGAACACATCAGCCGATCAGCACAAGTGGCCAGCATTGTAGCTTACGAGGGCAAACAACTCATACTGTAGCTTGGTGTCGAGTATTGATGCGGATAATAAACTTTCAACTACTATTCTAAGGATTCTTCTAATGTGTGTTACCGGTGACGATATTGTTTGATAGGGGGGTGGTATTAGTCAAAATTGCTATTTAATAATAAAAACATTTTTAAAATTCAGTATTTCAAAAACTACATAGCACAAGTATAGACATAGGTTCCAAATAGTATTAAAAATAACTATAAAGAGCATTAGTAAGGCTGTTATTATTTTTAGCCACAAAGGGCCGAGAAAAAGCTTATTATATAAGATTGAAAACAAATTCGAAAATGTGATTCAAACCTTTTCTAAAGCTCGGCTGGAAAATTGATATCAATAGCACTCTATCTTAAAACAATAATTATCAGAATTTATATACTACACTTACCCCTCTCCCAAGATTTTGAGCCTCGATTACTTCAAAGTGGTGTGAACACTTTGATGTTTTTCATGGTATCAAAAACAAAACAAACAACATCTTCCTCTCCATTCTCCCTCGCATTGACACAGTTTCTACACTCTTTATCTGGATTTCCCCACTCCTCACTTAAGTCTTGAATTTGTGAGTGCCAACAATACACAGGCCTATCGCTGTTGAGTCTCTGACTCTTCTTTCTGTGTGATGTAGCTGCAGTTTGTGTTTTGTTCTTCTCTACAACCAAATCCTTCACTGACTGTGGTAAGTTTCCTGGTATTGATTTCGGCTTCGCTTTTCCAGATTTGCTGTTCCATGCATATTCGATATCAATGATAAATGGCAGCAGTTGCTCCAACTCAACCGAATGCCTCGGTGAATGCAGTGGAGCTTCCGGAATATTCTCATCCTCCAAGGCCAATTCTATGTCATCCTGGTCCATCTCTCTATCTCCATCTCTTCCTCCCTGAAGTACACCTTCATCATCACGGCTCATACCTCCACTTCCAGCTGATAGTGCTTCATTTTTCTGATGTGTCTCTTTCTCAGAGGTGCATACCTAACATACTTCTCAACAATGTTTGTAAAACACCTAGAGGGTAGGTGTCATACAAAAAAAAGCTTGGCAATACCTGGATAGCACTCTATACGAAAATTGTATTTTTTTTTAATTTCTTTTTTGAAACTCTTAAAAATTGCTTTTTCCTAAAAACTTATATATCAATTTATAGCTTTTGAAGCTAGCAATTCAAATCTTTAATTCGATTTAAATAGGAAATAGATTAAAAGTAGAGTTGAGAAATCTCAGAACATATAGATATTATCATTAAGACTAAACTAGCTTTTAATGAATTTCCAATAAATTTATAAATAATCTTTTTAATAACATTATTTTAAAAATTATATATATAATAAAAAGAATAAATTGAAAATAAGATTATTAAAAAAATCGAAAAATTAGTTAATAAAATTAAATTTAAAATATTATTATAATATAATAATATAATATAAAGTTAAAATTTTATAAATAATTATTTTATTTTTAATAATAAAATAATATATATATTATACCCTAACTATTATTCTAAGGAATTTCTTACTGGGTATTAATTTTAGTAATCATTTTTGATAGAGGGCTAATAATTAGTTAAAAAGTTTCTAATTAGTTATTAATCTTATAGGATTCAATTTTATTAGAAATAGACAGCAAGTTATACATAGAAAATGATATATTAAATATATATATAAAGTCTATATATCCAGAAAGTCTGAAAAAAGAGTTTTATAGTAGTATACATATATTATACATATACTACACATATGATTTCTAATATTCCCCCCTATAATAAAAATTTATTATCTAAATTATATAAATTTTATATATATATATATATTTATAAAGAGTTTTATTAATTTCTATAATAATATCAATATTTTAATATTACTTATAGTATTTATATCTTTAATAAAGTTTAATAACTCTATAATCTAATATTATATTATAATATAAAAGTATTTTTTTATTTGAATTCTATTCTCTTTACTTATATCAGATGAAATCTAATTTATTATTATCGTAGGTCATAGGCTAATAATATATAATATGAAAGCTGGCTCTGATTAACAACTAAAATGGATTATATAAGCAGTATAACACATGATATTAAAGAATCTATATTAAATAATAATCTCTCTTATTTTACATTCAAAAGGAAAAAAACCTCTTTTTTATACTTTTTCCTACTAATTTAGCTTTTCCGTTTTCGTTAATCTCTTATAGATCTCTTCCTAATCCGTCCATTCTTTTGAAATAAAGCCCCTTTTTGTTTTCTTTATTTTATAGCCGTTTTCATATTTTATAACCATTTTCATATTTTATAACCGTTTTCGAATTTTATAGCCATTTTCGAATTGATAATTGTTTTCGGATTAATGATTGCTTTCGTAAGCTTATAAACAACGATCATATAATCTGATTATATAATAAGCTAATATTAGATTGAATACCTTTAAAAAGATATATATATTATATTATTTTTTAATTAAAACAATAGTCCCCTTTAATATATATCATCTTTTTTTTATATATATATATATATATATAAAAATATATATATATTAGTCTCATTAAAAACCTTCTTATTTTTAAAGGGAAAAAGAGTACTAATTTTTTATATATATTTTTATTTTAATAATAATAATTATTAAAATTTTGAATCATATCAATAAATCTTGATAATTTGATTCTTTCTAATGGCTTAGTTAATCCATCAGCTAATTGATTTTCTATAGAAATCCATATTAGATCTAAATATCCTTTATTTATAAGATCTCTTATATAATAATATTTAGTATCAATATGCTTACTCCTATCGTAATATATAGGATTATCCGATATAGCTTTTGCCGATATATTATCCGTATATAATAGGAATTTATTTTGATTAAATTGATTTAATTCCTATAATATATATCTTAAATATATAGCCTCTCTAGCGGCTAAATTTATAGTAATTAGCTCGGATTCTACTATATTTTATACTATAACAGATTACAATTTAGTTCTCTAACTGATTGAATTATTAGTATATATAAATATATAGCCACTAGTGGATTTAATAGAGCTTTTATTTCCCATATAATCTGTATTACAAAATCCTTTAATATATTTATTATTATCTTTTTTATATATAGTTTTAAATGTTTTAGTCCCTTTTAAATATCAAAATATTTTTTTCATAGTTATTATATAGTCTTTACTAGGATTAGATATATATCTTACTAATTTTAATATAGAATAAGTAATATCCTATTTAATTCCTAATACTAAATATAGTAATTTCCTTATTACTTTTTGAGCCCATTTTATTTTATTTAAATTAACTTTATTGGAATTTATTTTTATATTATTTTTAGTAACTATAAATGTAGCTACAAAGATGCAATCTTTTAGTTTTAAATTTTTTAGATATTTATTTATATATTCTTTTTGATATAATTTAATATAGTTTTTATTTAAATTGATTTGAATATCTAAATAGTTTTTTATTGGATCTAAATCCTTTAGATCTAAATGGTTTTTAAGATTTTTAATAAAATCTTTGATTAGAATCTTGTTAAAGCCTATAATAGTAATATTATCAATAAATATATTTAATATTAATTTCGAATATTTATTTATAAATATATACTCATCTGATTTTATATTAATAAAATTTAATTTATTTAATATACTTTTTAATATAGTATATCAAATTTTAGTAGACTATTTTAATTCATATAAAGCTTTATTTAGCTTTAATATTATATTATTATTATAATATATTTCAGGGGCTTTAATATATATATTTTTATTAATATTTTCTTATACAAAAGCTAAAACCATATTTATTTTGTATATATATTACCCTTTATTTATTGTTAGTATAAATATCAATTTCCAGACTATTTATTTTATTACATTAGCAAAAGTATTTAAATAATCTAATCCATATAATTGTTTAAACTCTTTAACTACATATCTAATTTTAAATTCAATATTATTATCAAATAAATATTTAATTTTATAAATCTATTTTGTTTTTAGGATATTTAACTCTTTTATATTATTATTATTCTTTTTAATAATAATATCCTAGATTTTATTCTTTTTAAAAATCTTTATTTTATATTCCATAGCTTTTTCCCAATATTCTTTTTAATCAGAATTTATAGCTTATAAATATATTTCAGAAGTTATTAGATTTTTATTATAAGATCTTTTTATTATTATTTTTTCGTTAATTTTTATATTGAAATATAATAATAATATATTCTTTTTATATTGATTATTATCAATATTATTTAATTTAAATTTATAATTTTGATTTTTTGATTTAATATATAATATATAAACAAGATGATATATATCTAATTACAGTTCTACT